TATCCCCTGGTTCTTATCCATTTTAATTGATATTGGGGTATGGTTGTTCAGTTATGGTTTTTACCTACGATTATGATAAAAAATTGCATATCTATACTTATTTAATACGCAAGAAGGTTTTTTGTGACAATTACTCCTCCGAAACTACTGAGCCAATTGACATGTTTTTGGTGTCATTGGAAAGAGCAATAACGTGAAGTTGTGCAGGAAACGTTCTTTTTAAGGAAATAATTAGAGAGTGAGGCCCTTGGGCCCTTTTAAAGTTTCGTATTTCTCCATAAGATTAACATGGGAAACAAAAATTGTTATGAAACTGCAGCTGTTGTCAAAAATTGAAAGTAAGAAGAAGAGCATTTGTTGATTGTAAAAAATCAATAAGTTTGTTAATTTAACAGTTAGCTACAAACATTTACTGACTTGGTTGAAATTAAATATTTACCATTTGAATTTGGGTTGGTGTAAATATTACAATGGAAAAAAGTGAGAGAGCCTGGTTAGTTTTATATACAAAAAGAAAACTGAATCAACACTGTGCTGCATTTCTTAGTAATCATTGAAAGAGCCGATTTGCAAACTATGGAAACATAGGGAAGTCATAGAACACCACCAAGGAGAAGAAATAGAAACAATGTTTTTTTATATTCATAATCGTTATTATGGACAACCTAATGCGGCCTTGAGCAAGGCTATTTTGTATAAAATACTATAAAACAGGATCAGCTTTTAAAAAATGGTAAGATTATTATTAAGACATGCATTATATCGATCTGTCCTGTACATCTTGAGTATTCCATAATTATTCCAAGTCATTAAAAATTATGACGGTTATTCGTTTAAAATAACACCTGTAATACTTAGCAATTGCTCGATTTCGAGCAATAGGGACACTAGTACAACTTAAATTGTATATAGTATAATAGTTTTTACTTAAAAAAACAATATCAAGATTAATGCCAAGTTTTATTTGGATACATCAAAAACCACCCATAATAGAACAAAAGCCAGACGGAATCAACAGGTTGTTTAATCTAGCAAATGGATTGAAGCGATTCAATAATGAAACGTGTGGCAAAATTACATACGAAGTAAAGAGATTGATATTGGATGGTTATGAAGTATTATTGCATCAGCTGGCTGGTATTGACTTTAGATATTGCAGACTTCTCATTGTAAAATCTGAATGTTTTGCCAGGTGTTTCATGTCCTAGGCTTGTGAGTGTTGGTGTCGATTGGATGCTTCTGGCATTTAAAGTAAACTTTACAATGTGTCGACTACTCTTTGGCTGTGTTTTACCAGAAAAATAGCATTTTTTTTGTTTAAACGACATCGTATAATTTATGCGAAAATTCATTTTTCCTTTTTAATTTCAAATCTGTGTTTTAATGATATACAACATGTTTCAAACTTTTTAGTTATAAGAAAGTACAAAAATTACGTCATTTAATATGAACTCCACAAGATTTGAAAAAAAAAAACACTTTCAAAAGAAATGTGTATACAAGATTTAAATTCCTTATATTAATCCATTATTTTAAACTCGTTATTATTAAAGTACAAAAGTAAGTAAAAACACAAATTATTAAAGTAGATAAAAACTGAAAAAATACATGTTTTTAAATTGTAGACAATTTTAACAGCCAATATAATCAGCTGTTCCACAATAATCAGGTGATTGTTAAACATTACATACCTAAGCTAGATGGCGTTGGTATCGCTTGGGTCTGTGTTATTTGATCGTGCATGAACTAATAAAAGGACCAAATCAAAGACTAACCAACACAAGTAGACTGCTCATCCCGTTTTAAATTTTGAATAGTGTCCAGTTTATGTTGGTAACACCATAGACAAAAGAATTAAATATAGACTGTCAGCTGTGCTGCGGTCACTGTAAAGAGGTTAAAAAGGTCAAATTAGGGTAAATAGGTTCTGGCACACAACGCTGGGAGTGCCATGTGCCTATGGAGGACGCGCTACGTAAACTACACGGCGCTCCCAGCGGTGTTCGCCAGAACATATGGTAACCATGGTAACCGCAGCACGGTAGAGAGTCTAAATTTAATTATTTTTGTCGATGGTAACACTGATCGCTAGTATTTTGTTTCTATTATTTTAGGGTAACATGATTTGTGCTTACTGTTTGGTTTTATAACTAGAGACGAGTTATTGTTTATTATTATATCGTTTGGTTAGTTAAACGAGGTTGTAAATGACAGAAATAACAAAAAATTAATTTTAAACAAAACACATTCCCTAGTGCACCGGACGGAACTAACAATAAAATTGTCTTCAGTTGATCCATAGGGATGAGAAATCTACTAGGGAGTATGTTTTATTTATGAGCAAATATTCCATTTTACTCTCCATAACTCAGAAGATAAATTGATATTTCCATCGTAACTCACCTTTTAGACCAAATACTTGATAATAAAACCACCATTTAAGAGAATTCAAAATCTACACATAAAATTAATAGGTATTTTTTAACGCATCTTATCCATACTTTATATCAACAACGATTTAATAAAATACCCCCGCCGCAGCAAACCTGCCGTCTAAGCGAATTTCCATTTGGCCGAATTGATTTTCAATTGATGTATTTAAATAACATTAGGTTTAACGAATACCTAGGTTTGCTGCTACAAGGAAACTATTAAAGTACTGTGTTTTTAGTAAAATATTGGTAGCTTACTATAAAATAAATAAATTTGCCAAGTTTGATCAAAATATATCCATAAACAAGCAAACTACAACATTTTACAATATTCTCCATAAGAATAACATGGGAATTTTTAATTTACCATTTTTTCTGTTTTCTCCGTAACCAATAACCGTACAAAAACACTTTGATATACTGAATTGTTTGTTTTTTTAAGCTCTTTAAGAAGGTTTAGAAAACAATTGGGAAATTTTGTGTTTTGAGGGTAAGAAGTGAGAAAAACAAATTTTTACCCCATAAAACCCTGTTCCCATGGTCCGATCATGCTGGATCGCGAACTCATTCAAGTTTATCCCGCCATACACCTTCAAACCAAATTTCATCAAAATCGGATAAAAATTACTCAAGTTATCGTGTTCACGGACACACACACACATATATATATATATAAATCTATATTTTTATACATATACATATATAAAAATTTGAACGAATGGTGTTTTTGGCCTCTGGGGACATTAAAATGAAAAAGTAAATCGGTCCCGGGCCTAAGTCTTACCATGAGACCTACGGTAATAGCTACTTCCCTATAGGGAAATTCGCTAAAAAAGAAATTGTTGTATAATGGATAGCTGTGGGCGTCCATGATAAAATGAGAAGTATTGTTTGATTCAGAAGATTATTAATGAATCAAATCATTCTGTGTGTAAAAGAATGAAAAATGTGTCCCGATTATTATTCCGCCCACAGTTGTGTTCAGTCAGCTGACATTAATCAAAGTGTTTCACTGTGAGAAGAGACTGATCAGAATTTGAATTATTCAACTAACGGAGTAAGGACGATAAGTTTGATAGATGTTTTATGAGGGTCTACTTTCCTTATGGGATTTAAAAGGTGGAACATTCATGAGATTATTTTGAAACGAACTACGATGTTAGTTGGAAAAAACATTAGCTTTTTATGTTAAGTCACAATCATTTGGAACAATTATAATTTCTGGTTTCATATTAAATGGGAATTTTTTAATGGTTGGTTTTTTCTATAATTTAGAATAGAGTGAGGCTAAACGTTTTAGATTTGATACATTATGTACATTAAAGCGTTATCAAAACTAGAGATGAAATAACATACCTGTAATTCGATAACAGTAAAATTTTCGAGTGGAAATGTCAATATTATTGGCTACAGGAATCTCACTACAAATATTTTTGTTAGAACTAAGTCTTAAGTTTCATAATGTGTAAAATAAACAAAGTGTATATAGTTTCAAATTAGTTTTTATTTTACATGAATTTATAAATTAAAATTCGTCTTCACTAATTAAATACGATTTGTCTTTTCCACGTTGCAAATTTTCTATAGATTTTCTACACTTTATTTAAAAACAAAATTCGCTGTAGTAATAATATTCTCGTTGCCTTACTTCTTCAACCTCAATTACACAATAACAGCACAATGGAGGTATGAAGGCCATAACTTCGACCGCAGTACTTGACTCGCCGCTTATATTGAATTCTTCTCTCGATCCATTCTTACCACCGTTGCATTGTATCGTATTATTCCATTATCGAATACTCCACGTTAAATATTTAAGATATTTAATTCACTTAATTAAAATTAAAAGGTTTACAATAGGTATTTGCTTGTCAATCTATAATGTAAAATCTCTGAATCTTAGTAAATTTGGAAGATTTAAGTCTTGGCATTTTCGGGTTCAACTTTCTGTAAACAATTGTGAATTTTGAAATCCTGTTTGTGTCCAAATTGTTTACTCTCAAACTGCAACAATAAATGTAACAGATTGTACCCTAGACACATACCCAAGACTGGGACGGGTAGCCGTCATTCTGTAATCCAGCTACTAGGAGGTCACTAAATGTGGATATTTATGGGCATGCACTGTGGATGTGGTACTCTCTGGTGTGGATTAACGTCCGCACGAGTGAGTACTACGACTTACTGCCAAACGCTACAGAATATGCCGATTATACGGTGGTGGCGGCACAAGGTAGGAGTTTTGAAGAGGTGGAACAGAAGCTGACTATGACTCTTAATGCAGTACTATCCTGATAATTAGACCAATTCGTATATACCAAGAGAAAATTGTGGTTCGGATTCCACTTAAAACTGTAGGTCCCTGCCATTAGATGTATGGGCTATTAATTTATAGCTGTGTCTAAGGAATGTCGGCCTTAGTCACCAACAAGACTACAAGATCGCGCCACTCATCTCCATTCATACTTTAAATACCTACTTTGTATGGTCGCCATTTCATTGAAAAGTATTCAAGGATTTCATTGAAAAGAATTAAAGTATTAATCTAAATTTATGTTTTTGTTCCAGAAACAAGGCAGTAGGATGAAGTGCTCAGCTTGTAAGATCGTCGCCCACTCTGGATGTATCAGTGTGCTCATGGAGAGGGTCAAGTTCACCTGTAAACCCACGTTCCGTGATGTAGGGGTGAGACAGTACAGGGAACAGACGTGCATCCACCACCACTGGGTACACCGGAGGTCGCAGAAGGGGAAGTGCAAACAGTGCGGGAAGGTGAGTCACCTGAAGTTCTAATTAAAAATCCTCTACCTCAGCAAACTTGCAGACTTAGGGAATTTACATTTGATTGAGTTTTCAATTAAATATTTCATTTCAAACGTCAGGTTTATTCCCTAACAAACATTTTTTTCCTAGGACGCTAGGCACGAGCCTGGGATTGTTTTTCACATTACTTCAGGCTAGATCTAGGGGTTGCGGCATTATCACTTAGATAAATCCATTGGTGAATTGGTGGGGATCGAACCCGGGACCTCAGGGACTGAAGTCCCGCGCTCTAACCACTACGCCAGCTCGCTCCCCTCCCTAACTAACATTAGGTTTTATGAGTACTTAAGCTGCTACAGGGAGGGTACTGGCGTTTTTTAGTAAAATATTATTATGAAATAAAAAAATTATTTTAATTTAAATTTTAAAAAATCTATAAAAAATAGCTAATTATAAAATAAATAAATTTGCTGAGTTCAACAAAAATATACCCATAAATAAGCAGTCTAAAACAGTTTACATATTTCCCATAAGAAATTGAATTTTCTCTATACCCAATTACCACTCAAAAAACTTTAGAATACTAGAGTTATCGTGCTAACGGTTATACAGTATATGCATTTGTACAGATGGTCTTTGGGGCATCTGAGAACATCGAAACGTAAAAGTAAATCGGTCCTGGGCCCAGGTCCTACCACGAGACCTACTGTAATATATTATTCCTCCGATTGTGGGGAATTTTCTAATAGTCTTGATCGGTGCACACTGGGAATTTTGTCCTGAAAAAGCACTGATAATGTAATGAACATTTTAAGAGTACTTGAGGCGACTGCAACCATGGCAGTTACTTTAGGTCTATATTTTTATTTGTATGACTATTCGCTCGCTTCTTAGGTGATTGAAATAGTATGAGATTGAACTTAAAAGGGTACTTGGGGTTAGTGCAACTATGGCTAAATGCTAGGCTTATCGCTGCTTTATATTCTTAAGTGCTCCCTACTAAAGATAACAACATTAGAAGATTATGGGGATAAGCGTATGTTTTTACGTAGAACAATAACAATAATTACTCTTTTGCTAGAAACTTTAATTTTGCAAACAGTTTGAGGCAGAAACATGGAGACAACTAAGATGATTGGGCGTATAAGTCTAAGCAAATGTTTGAACGTGGCTTTGTCTACAACAGATTGTAATCAACGCTAGATACATTCAAAAGATTTGCTCACTTCATATGTTTACTGTGGGTAAAGTAACGCTGCATTGAAAACGTTATGAGTCTGGCAATATTGAAAATGGACTTAGCAGTATACCTGTACAAGCTTCATAATATATTGGCATGCCTACATGCGAGTATTCATGCTTTGACATTGATTGGTGAATACTGACAAATTTATCAAAACTTTTATAATATGAATCAAGCCTGATGATAGAGATGTGACTGATTGAAATTGACACTTAATCAGAATATTTACAATCTTGCAAAAATTAAAGTTACGGGTAAGAATATAACAATTTGAAAGAGTTTATTTCGGGTGGCACCAACATATCTAATGCTTGTCAAGAAACATTTGACAACTATGATAGAAAAATAATTGTTTAATGACTCCATTTAAACTACAGAGAACATCTAACATTAAAATAATCTTCGTTATTTAATTACTACAAAGTATAAAAAGTTTGGAGAAAGACTTTGATCATCTCGTTTGTCAATAGTAAACAACTAAAAAAAAAAATGTTTAAAGGGGCTAAATCAGTAACTTCTATGTTTTTTCCGCAAGTATACAAAAGTAGAAGGATTTCTAAGAAGAGGATGTTATGATTGAAAGGACACTGAAACAACAGACAATTATCCTTAGAATGGCAAACTTGGAAACCTTTGATTCTCATTAGAGCTCGAGCAAACAGCCTATCCTCCATGATGGCTTAACGACAAGATGTCAGCTTAGGATAAACCAAGCAAGATTGTATATTCTGTGGTGTCTACAATACAAATGATCATGATAAATTATAGAAATTAAAAGAAGAGTCTTTCAAAACAATAGTTAACTAAATATTTCATGATCATTTATCATGATTTCAAAATAAAAAAGATCATGATACAAATTTTTACGCCTAAATATCTTGCTCGTTCTATACTTTATTGTATATTGATTTAGAAACGACATTTATTCTATAAACTTGTATACTGATTATACAGAACAAAGCCTTGCCACATTCAATATTTGCTCTCCTCCCTCACAGCCTGATCAACTGTTTCACAATGTCTACTCAGTTGTATGTTGTTAGAGTCAATGACGTCATTGATTCTGTACACGTGTGTACTGATTATACAGAACAAAGCCTTGCCACATTCAATATTTGCTGTCCTCCCTCACAGCCTGATCAACTGTTTCACAATGTCTACTCAGTTGTATGTTGTTAGAGTCAATGACGTCATTGATTCTGTACACGTGTGTACTGATTATACAGAACAAAGCCTTGCCACATTCAATATTTGCTCTCCTCCCTCACAGTCTGATCAACTGTTTCACAATGTCTACTCAGTTGTATGTTGTTAGAGTCAATGACGTCATTGATTCTGTACACGTGTGTACTGATTATACAGAACAAAGCCTTGTCACATTCAATATTTGCTGTCCTCCCTCACAGTCTGATCAACTGTTTCACAATGTCTACTCAGTTGTATGTTGTTAGAGTCAATGACGTCATTGATTCTGTACACGTGTGTACTGATTATACAGAACAAAGCCTTGCCACATTCAATATTTGCTGTCCTCCCTCACAGCCTGATCAACTGTTTCACAATGTCTACTCAGTTGTATGTTGTTAGAGTCAATGACGTCATTGATTCTGTACACGTGTGTACTGATTATACAGAACAAAGCCTTGCCACATTCAATATTTGCTCTCCTCCCTCACAGTCTGATCAACTGTTTCACAATGTCTACTCAGTTGTATGTTGTTAGAGTCAATGACGTCATTGATTCTGTACACGTGTGTACTGATTATACAGAACAAAGCCTTGCCACATTCAATATTTGCTGTCCTCCCTCACAGCCTGATCAACTGTTTCACAATGTCTACTCAGTTGTATGTTGTTAGAGTCAATGACGTCATTGATTCTGTACACGTGTGTACTGATTATACAGAACAAAGCCTTGCCACATTCAATATTTGCTCACCTCCCTCACAGTCTGATCAACTGTTTCACAATGTATACTCAGTTGTACGTTGTTAGAGTCAATGACGTCATTGATTCTGTACACGTGTGTACTGATTATACAGAACAAAGCCTTGCCACATTCAATATTTGCTCACCTCCCTCACAGTCTGATCAACCGTTTCAATTAGAGTCAGTGATGTTATCGATTATATACATGTGTGTACCACTTACTTGTTATAAGTCTTTATTTTTAATGGTTAAGTTTTGTAATATATATTTTGTTAGCAAAAGCTACAGCTCTGAACTTCATTTAAGTTTCGGTTGCAATACCACAACGCCATAGGGTGCTTATTTCCTGTTTCTATCTCAGTTTTGAGTAGGAAATGGTCAAGTTTCCTGAGAGTTTCTGTTAAGTTTCGTGTAATTATGAAAAGCTGAGAGACTCGTCCAAACTAACACAATTTGGCAACTGCAGTTATAGAAGCCTTTCTAGCTGTGAGTTGAGCAGTTAATTGTATTTAAGCTTTAAGTTACTTAAATTATTTTTGAACGTAGTTTTAATGTTTTTAGTGGTCATAAAACAATTTTCCCTCCAGTGGTAGTTTGTAAAATGTTTTTACAATCTTATGGACAAATTGGAACATTGCGTTGAAGTCTTTATTATGCACCGTTAAATTTCATTTCCATGTTGTCGATTTAACTTGTTTTTATATTACCTTTACAATGTGCCTTTTATATTTACTCTTCTTCGAACGAAAGGAAAAAAAAGCTATATGATGGTAATTAGTATCCATAGATAAATAGTGGCCAAACACTAAACTCCAGAAGTATCAACAAATGTGTAAAAAACTATTTCCTATACTAACTTTCACATTCTTCTAGTGTAATAGTTTAAAATATAATGTTTAAGAGGAGAAAGTGATAAAACATAGACAGAGGAATTTACACTTGGTAAGACAAATTTTAAATGTTTCATAATCAAGTTAGTCTTTTAGGCTACTTAAAAGGTAAAAGTAGTCTTAATAGGTCTCGAACAATGACTCGCGTTTTCACTACAAGAAAAGGACTGAATACGTTCATAAAAAAAAATTTATAAATTACAAATATAAAAATTTATTCATGCTGTTAAAACTGTATTTCTGTTTTTCGTAATTTTAACGCTAATCTTCCTTCAGATTATAAAATAAGACAATGTAAAATCCCTGAAAATTACTAATGACATGACTTGACTTGACTTGTTTCCTGTCGCTCCTTAGCGGGAGCATAGGGCATCGAGAAGAGCTCGCCATCCATCCCTGTCTTGCGCCAGATCCCTCAGTTGACCCCAGGTCTTCCCGACACTCGAGGCTTCCTTTATTATTGTTCTCCTCCAGGTGTCACAGGGTCTTCCTCTCTTTCTGGTCCCTTGGGGATTCCATTCCAGGGCCTTCTTTTCAATTGCACCATCCGCCTTCCAAAGAGTGTGACCCAGCCACCTCCACTTCCGTCTTCTGATTTCTAGGCTGATCTTGGTTTGCCCTGTTGTCTCCCAAAGCTGTTAATTTGATATAGTGTTTGGCCAGAACACTCTCATTATACGTCTGAGACACCTGTTTACAAACACCTGGAGCTGAGAAGTACTACGCTGATCCATTTTCCAAGTTTCACTGGCATATAGAAGGACAGACTTGACGTTTGTGTTGAAGATGCGGATTTTGGTTTTCATTGAAATATTTCTATTTCGCCATATTGGGTAAAGCTGAATAAATGCTGCATTAGCTTTCCCAATGCGGCTCCTAACATCTTCCTTTGCTCCTCCGTCTGCTGTGACTTTACTTCCGAGGTATTGGAAAGAGTCGACCTCTTC